GGTGTTAAAATGAGTATATTTTTGTCGAGGTAATCACACAATCACAACGACATGGGGATTGTTTAGACGACTTGACCTTTGACATTACCCATGATGCTTTGCAACGCTGTTGCCTGTGGCTGTGGCTGTGGCTGTGGCAAACTGCCAAACTGCATGCAGTGCCTGCCAGTGGCTTGGCTAGGTTTTTTCCAGCGTGGGGGAGCACTGGGGGGCCTTACATTTCTGTGGGGGGGGGGCACGTGCCGTAGCTACGCCCCTGTGCAGTGCCCCTTCGTTCACTCGTAGATTGAGCCCATGAGCGAGAGCGTCATCTGTCGTGGAGACGGTGGAGTTTGAGGCTGTGGCTGTGGTGTGGCTCAAGTGGTGTGGCTGTGACCTGCGGCTGTGGCACACTGTGGCTGTGACTCCGAACTCGCTGTCATATCCACAGGCACTTGGAGCGTCTCAATAAAGAAAAATAATGCTAAATAAACACGAAATGTATTTAGGCTACTACCAAAGTCTTAATGTTTCTCTACTGTCTTTTGCCTATTATCGCCTATTATTGCCTGTAAATGCCGTCCAAATGCTCCTCTGCAACACGTACGTACACCGCACGCACGCACGCCGCTATAGCTAGCTGCGCGTTTACACTTATATATATATATATATATGTGTGTGTGTGTGTGTGTGTGTGTGTGTGTGTGTGTGCGTGTGCGTGTGCGTGTGCGTGTGCGTGTGCGTGTGCGTGTGTGTGTGTTGAAGAGGAGCATTTGAAACGCATTTACAGGAAATTATCGGCAATAATAGTAGTAGTAAATACATTTCGTGTTCATTTAGCATTCTTTTTCTTTATTGAGACGCCCCATGCACGTCCCTGGAAAGGGCCTTCTTTTTGATTTCTTGAATTGTTTTCGTGTTTGTATATATCTATATGGTTTGGTGTATAGGATCAAATTTGCAGTCTGTACGGGGTATTAATCGTGCATGCTGATTCTGGCACCACTCTAAAACTCACAGCTACCTGCGTGTGAGCATTTTATATCTCATATTATCTCCATAATATTAACCATATTACATTATCTGCCATAATATATATATATAAATATATATATACCATCATATATATACAATATTTTATGAAACACGCTATGATCGATAAACAGCAGATATAAACAAACAGTAACGCCTTGTGAATGCGGCTTGTATTCATTTTTTAATACTCAGGAGCTGGCTGCAATTAAATTGAGCCAAACGACTCACTTCAGACGGTAAATCTGCCAAATCTCGATAAAATACGCGATAAATTATATAGGCGCGCATGCCCACTATCTGCTAAAATATTTAATATTTGGCAAAATTCTGCATTTAAAATAAGAGAAGGTTTCAGGTGTATATTTCTGTGAAAAATCCTAAATCTTTTACCTCCTGTCAATAAGAGCAGCCAGCGCCGGATTAACAGTTGCCTGGGCCGGGGGCATATCATATATTTGGGCCGCCCATCCACCCGCCCCCCCTTCCCATATAAAGCATATAATGTTTTTAGACCTGTTCAGTGGATAATTATAAGCAATTAATGTTGGAAAATGGAAAGGAAACGTTCTAAAATAATTAGTAGAGTTAACATTTTTTTTAAATCACATTTTTTTAAATTGGTAGTTTTAACCCCACTAGCTACCTTAAAGTGAATAATATTCCTAGCTGCTGCAATGTAACCCACAAACACGGAGAAAATGAAAACAAGTAGAAAGCAAAAACAAATGTAGTCATATGAAAGTGGTAGGTTTTTTCCCAAGATCTACTTTGGAAAAAATAATAAACTGTATATTTCTTTTTGTAGTCACAACACTTTAGGGCCGGTAGACTTGTAGGGCCGGGGGCAAATGCCCCCTTTGCCCCATTGATAATCCGCTACTGAGAGCAGCGAGCCCAGTCTTCTCAACATCCCAATTTGCCGCGTATAGCGTATGTCTTTGCCGTTGGCCGGCGTGTTAGAGTCGCGCATCAGAAGTATTGTACGGTGCTAAACGAAAAATATACACGTTGTCATGTCGGTCGCGTGCCTACTATCCGGTTAAATAATTAAATTTTTGTTGAAATTCTATATTTCAAAAAGAGACGACATACTCAGGAGTAGGTTTCCATGAAAAATGAGAAATGCATTGCCTTCCTTTATTATATATAATAAGAGGGAGCCCATCCGGACACGTCAGGAATAAAGCTTCATTGGAGTGCACGCGCGCGTCGAATTTCGCGCGTTGAAATTCTATATTTCAAAAAGAGACGACATACTCAGGAGTAGGTTTCCATGAAAAATGAGAAATCCATTGCCTTCCTTTATTATATATAATAAGAGGGAGCCCAATCCTCCTAATATCCCGACCCGATAACGAAATTATATGTACACTTTCCGTTGCTGTTGGTCGGCGGCTCCAGTGTCGCGCATGAGAAGTAACGTATCAGATAAATGATATAACATCAAGAGCGCATCAAGAATCAGAGCGTGCAACGGTGAAATGTAAAAACCATGTTGTATTCAACCATGTATGTATAACCGCTCTTGATGTAACCATTCTCAATACGCTCTTGATAACTAACATACATCCGGACACGTCAGGAGGAATAAAGCTTCATCAGAGCGCACGCGCGCGTCGAATAGAACGCGTGAGCTCGCACACGCGAGCCAAGAGAAGCAGCCAGCGGACATCGCCTACGGACGGACAGCAACGAGTTCACTCACAGCAGCAGTCCGAGATAAGTCCACTCGCTATCGTCATTATTATATTAGTCGTTATCGTTTACTTTACAAGTTCGGTCTGCGTGACTCGATTAAAATGAATTACACGAACAGCAGTCCACTATAGTTTGTGGTAGAATACATTACATGATAAACGTCACACGACGTTGTATTCACATGATACGGATTATCACGGCTTATTTCACGATAGTTTTATTATATAATTTTTAACCTTTAGTGCCCCCAATAATGTCGACGCCGACGTGTAAAATTGCATATAATATTTGACGAAAGTGCTATAACACCTAACTATTGCTCATGTTGATTACGTCTGAATCGGAACCAATAGCATTACATGATTGCGTGTCACAGGAATCCGTAGTTATTACGTCCTTAAACATGGTATATAGATAAGTTGTCCTTGACAAGAAAAAGACAGCGATAAATATTAGCATGAATGAAGCAAAGAAACTGCGAAGGGTTCTACACAGACGTGCAGCACTTCTCTGGCGACAATATATCCACTATAGCAACGATTATACTTTCGTTAAAAAATCGCGACGTGCATAAATATATGTACACAGCTGAAAACACGTAAGCGTACGGCGCAAATACGTCGTCAGTACTTTAATGCAATTTCAAACACTCATTCCATTGCTGCAACCTCCCTTCTCTTTCCACTATAGGCCAGAGAACCCATATATAAATACAAATACCTATATACCAAGCGCACACTAATAGGTAAAGCCGTTCAAATGTCTCAATTTAAATAGGTCAATTTCGAACGGGTCACACAACGTAGCAGCAAGTCGATTAATCTGTCAACGGATGACGAATGCACGTACGTCACATACACGCAATTATAAGGCCCGAAGAAAAATGCGAGAGCGATATATGTAATTAATTACACCGCGATAATCCGACTGGAATCACAGCCTAGTCCAGCGAGCCGTATTGTCCCCTCGATGAAACGTAGATTCCGTTCAACGAAACGCGTGAACTAGTTCACAGAGTGGAATGCCTGCACCACTCGCTGCAGTAGCATCAGTGCCTGCACCGCGCGCTGCAGCAGCATCAGTGCCTGCACCGCGCGCTGCAGCAGCATCAATGCCTGCACCGTGCGCTGCAGCAGCATCAATGCTTGCACCGCGCGCTGCAGCAGCATCAATGCCTGCACCGCGCGCTGCAGCAGCATCAATGCTTGCACCGCGCGCTGCAGCAGCATCAATGCCTGCACCGCGCGCTGCAGCAGCATCATTGCCTGCACCGCGACACGTCGCTAGCTGCCTGGCCCCGGCTTAAAGAAATCGCGCAGAGTTTTCGTATTTGACGATGCAGCGGTGGCGGCGGCGGCGAGTCTCGCCTTTTTTCTCGACTTCTCGTCCCGGGTGGCCGCGGTGCGCTTCCCTCGCTCGCGTGGTGCGGCGACGCTCGCGCGCTGTCCCGCCGGCGACGGGCAGCGTCTCTGAAGCTCCAGCGCAAAGTGGTAGTCGTTGTGTTCGGGAAGGTCGAACGGCGAGATCATTCGGTCGCACAGCGCACACGGCACCAGCTCGGCACAGATCTCCGGCGACTCCATCGCGACTCGTTCGTCGTCGATCCCTCGATCCGGATTCGCATGTATCGGCGGCAAGTTTCCGCTCTTGTCTGCTTCTTCTTCGCTGAAGAGATCGTCGCTGTTCGAATTGCGAAAGGCACGCGTCTTTTCTTGCTCAGACGTGTCTGGTTCGACACCGACTTTTTCTCTCTCTAAGATTTCACATCGTTGGTGTTCAATAATTGGCGAGTCGTTGAAGCTAGTGCTGCCTTGCTGCGTTGTAGTGAATAGAGAACCATCCGCGAGACTTTTACCGTCACTCGGTAAGAGCGAACGTTGAGAGAAACTGTTCGCGAAAGAAACGAGGGAAGCGTTAGAGGTAGATTGTGCAACGTCTTTCGTTCCTTGTGTACATTCTTTGCCCATTAGGATATCGAGCTGCTTTTGCTTGAAAAAGGACACTCCGTCATGGCGCTTAGACGGAGATTTGCTGAACCCCGCGCCGGCAGCCGTGTTAGTCGGTTTCACTTCAGCCCCGAGCTTCCGCAGCTGAGTTGACGGCAGTGACGTGATGGCAACAGCGGGCGGCTCTCGATCACGACTAGCCGCGTCCCCGCATCCGCCCCCGTGCACGTCGTCGTCTGCAACCCCACTCGTATCCGTGGCAACGACCCTACTCGTATCTGCGGCAATGACACCGCTCATATCCGCAGCAACAACCCCGCTCGTATCTGTGGCAACGGCCCCGCTCGTATTCATGGCAACTACTCCGCTCATATCCACGGCAACAACTCCACTCATATCCATGGCAACGGCCCCACTCGTATCCACGGCAATGCCCCCACTCGTATCCGCAGCAGCGACCCCACTCGTATCCACAGCAATGGCCCCACTCGCATCCACGGCAACGCCCCCACTCGTATCCGCGGCAACGACCCCACTCGTATCCACGGCAATGGCCCCACTCGCATCCACGGCAACGGCCCCGCTCGTATCCGCGGCGACGCCGACGCGCTCTCCGCCCGCGCCGCGTGTCGGCGCTTGCGTGAAGAAGGTTGTGATGTCTCTGGTCGGCTCCTTCTCACCGAGTCGTTTTCCAGCGACTCTGCCTCGCGCTCCATCTTCCCCGGCCTTCCCTGCTGCCGGTCGCGCCGCGTCCGCGGTCAGCGACGCTTTCGGGACCAGAAAGCTGCCGATGCTCACGGTGCCCGCCGCTCCAAGGTCACTGAACTTGCTTGCGGACATCGATATGTTGGCGATCGCCGGAGACCTACGGAGAGAGCACGGAAGATTGTCAGCTGCACGCAGTGGCGCCCGCAGATAGAAGCACTGGAAGCACAGTGCTTCCAGTAAATTTTGGGTTAAACAATTTTGTTCCTACATTTTGTTCCTAAATCTCTCTCGCAAGACTCACCAGATTGCATCTCCAGACGTCTACTATTCAAAAATTTTCAGGGGGGCATGCTCCAAGACCCCCCTAGCATGCAGCGCACCTACGTCGCTTGCTTTATATTATCACTGAGGATTTTATCCTTCTGTGCTTCTACTTTCTTAAGACCTGTGGGCGCCAGTGGCTGCACGAACAGAACGTCAGAGCTTTCATGCGAGTAGATGAAAACCGCGCTGTTTAAAAGCCACGGCAGGCAAACCGTAGAAGAAGCAGTATACCCCTGGGGGTAGGGGGGGCGCGCGGAACTGACTATCGCATCATCGGCACGGTTGACCAGACCGAGACAGGTAGAACAAGGGATCAACTGTGACAGATACAACGGCAGAATAAACAGCACGAGCCGCGCGACTCACCACGCGCCTTCCGTCGGCGTGGCGGCGGCGGCGGCGGCAGCGACTCTCCACCTGGACATGCTCTGCATGGCGTCACGCTCCAGCCTCCGGACGCAGTACCTGTAGATCGGCGTCGCCCGGGAGACGCGCGCACCACCAGCGCCCTCTTGCAGCAGCGCGCTGACCGTCAGCGAGGACGCGTGGCGATTGTTCGTCTCCTCGTCTTTCGTCAGCCTCTCGACGAGCTCCTGACACAACTGATGCACCCAGTGGGCGACCTGGAAAGTCGAGACGTCAGGACGGCGTTTCAACACAGACCATGATGATCGCGCAGCGTGTTAGACCGGTGGACGCTCTGAAACCTACGTGCCGACTCAGGTGTGGCTTGACAAACTCACCCGCTACTCAGTGTTTCCTGGCCAGGTACGCACGGAAGGAGGAAGAAGGGAGGCAGGGAGAAAAGGAGGGAATGAGGGAAGCAAGGAGGAAGGGAGGGGGAGAGACATGGATGCGCCGGGGGGTGAGTTGGAGCGCCCATGCAGCTCGACAAACTCACCAGCTGCTCCCTGTTTCTCGGCCGATTCGACTTCGTCTCACGTTAGCAGTTACGCGTTTGTACTTGCGTTTATGGCGTGGGAGTCATTACCTGGTCATAGGTATTCAGTGCAGTTTTGCCGGAGAAGTTTTTCCCGCAGCCTATAGACTTTGGCAGCAGTCTGGCCGTGACTGGCTCCTGCTCTATTCCCCGACATGCGTCATAGAGCCAGGCCCTATTAAAATTAATACAAGTTCAAGTACACCGAGGCATTAGGCCGAGAGAGATTAACGATCTCAAGTGAACTGTATATGACAGGCTATGGTATGAGACTAAGTCTTCCTAGAATGTTCATTGTACGAGTTATCCATAGACCGAAGATACAAACATAAGGAAGATGTAGCCAAGAGATGTACCCATATTTATCTCCCAAGGTAGACTGTAGGTGTTTTCTGGTGAAAGCGCAAATCTCACCCATGAACTGCACTCCCAGTTGATCCACTACCTGCTCCCCAAGTTTTCCACCTAGACTCCTCCTATAGAGAGCACAAAAAACCAGCAGGTAGATCAGTGGAAGATGGTCGATAAATAACAGAATAACTCATTAACCGAGCAGTTCGTGTTAGGTTTCACCAAATGATACTTGCTCAAAATTATATTGCGTCTGTTGTTTCTAATAACTACCCATCATTGTCAGTGATCCTGCATATATATAAATTTTCTATTAACGTGAGCATATCTCATATTTGAATCTCACAGTTTGTGCACAGGCAGATCCTTGAAAAGTCCTCCCACAGATCTATGTGGCAGAATAGTCTGTTTGTTTGGCTTGTTGACACCGCACGCTAGCTTCGCAAGCACCTGACCACAAAAAAAGAAACCATAGGCAAATGGTAGGACATTTCGAAATCGATGCTAAACGCTTAATGTGTTCAATTACAAATATTAGTCAAGTGATAATAAATAAATACTCAATATAAATTATATTGATATATAAATTCGCGAATGATAAGAGATACTCGATTATTTACATTATAAATGCTTACTCATCTGATAAATGCTGGGCAAAATACGGCTACCTTATTGTGAGCGATTCCTGCTGAACATCTGAATCCGGTATCCTTCCAGACAGCTTCTCTTATCTCTTCCACTATCGCAGCTGCTGCGGCCAGCATCTGATCATGGCTTCCATCAGCCTCGTCGTTGTCATAGATACAGGCCAACCATGACGACACGCCCAGTTTTCGCTGCTCTATAAAGAGAGGTCAAACACGCTGCGTCATACCATGAAATATTCGTCCACTATTTGCATTCTATGACGACAGAAAATAATTCTAGTGAGTGAGTCAGTTCCTTCTAAATATGTCCATTTATCTATTTTATTTTTATATATTGTACCTAGTCTTTATAAAGAAGAAGACAAATGTTGACCCCCCTATGATTACCTATTTCTAACTTAATTCCTAGCAAACATAGGCGTATTCCTAAACAATTCCTTAAATATTTACACACACGCTTTAACACTAGCATTTTACCAAAAACTTTTTAAAAGCTAACCATCTGTCGTGGCTTTTGGCTTAGCATGATTCTCAGTTGCAGGCTCTGCTACTCCTTCTTCACAAGTTTCCCCCTTGTGGGTTACTTCATGATTATTCAGTTCTTCAAATCCAATAACGTGTGTATTGCTTAGCATGTCTTGTTTAATCCTGTCCGTCCCAGCCTAGCAGAAAAATCAAGACGGTATTAGACATACAAGCAAATCACCGACACTGGCTAACATCATCATAGTCTCAGTATGTTTACTTCAGAACATACTTTCGAATTACAATTGTGCGATACATGCTATGCATTACTATTGTGGGATACTTGCTTACTTTAATTTCATTAACTACTTGCCTCGAGTTATAATTGTGGGATACTTGCTTAAATTAATTTCATTGACTACTTGCTTCGAATTATTGTCGTGTGAAACTTGCTTCGAATCACTATTGTGGGATACTTGCTTCGAATTACTCTCTCGAGCTAACTGCTTCAAATCGTCGTTGTGGGATACTTGCCTGCGTCCTCTCATGAACAGTTTCAGTGAGGTCTATGTAGGCTTCGTCTATGCTTGCGCGTTCTACACAATTGCTGAAGCGACACAGCACTTTGATCACTTCTGCTCCGGCTTCCCTGTACCTGCACCGAAACTGAACATGAGGGAGATCAAGTCCCCGTGGTTCTCATGAAGTTTGTTCGCCAGCAAACCCGATTTCCTGATGTTGTTACTTACAATGACGAACGTCGCTCACCTTGCTCGGGTGAAGGTTTTTTATTTAACCGGTTTTATGTTAGAATTCAAGCTATCACTCGCTTATCGAAATTGTATGCGGCGCACAATAACTGCAGTGCAGAGATCACTTAACGCTCCACACATTACAGCGAGTGTTGATCAAACCACCTGTCCTTACCGAGTGAGATCAGCCTTGCCGCGTAGTTCAGGCACATGGATCAGGTTGATGTCGGGACATTTTTCCTTTGCTTCATCCCCACGAATCCTTCTGTTCACTCCATGCGCTCTCGCTTCATAGCTAACCGCTATGATCCTGTAAAACAGACGTGTTTACACCAAACATTGAATTAGCTACAGGCATGCATGTACGTCATATGCATAATTCGTGCACAGATAGTTTTAAGAACTCACTAAAAGATATAGCAAGTAGCAGTTTAACTGTAAGCATAACAAATTTACAACAAGTGATGCCAAGTAGCGTGGCTGTTTATATAAAACCTCACCCGCCTCCTTTCCATGTGTTGTACTGCACAACGGCACATGGTTTCCCCTTTAGTTCCGGAAATATCCGCTGCTCCACTTGTACATAGAAGCAGTCCATGTCCACCAAAACAATGACTCTGTTCTGTGTCATATTCTGCGGTCACTCTCAGCACTTCGAAAGAAAACGGGTCAAAATCATTCAAGAACTCTTAATCGGGCATTATTCTAATATGCTTATAGGTTAGCAATATGTAGCATTAAAATCGCACATTGGCGAAAATAAATACACTAGAGCCACGTAGAATAAAGAGCATGCAGACCCTGTTAATTACCAGTGCGACGGGTGGCCCAAGCCAAGGAAATAAGAGCTGTCCACATTTGTCATTTACACATTTGCACATGTCGCACATTGCGAAAATGAATTGTGGTCAGCGCTTATATCCATGAACCCTTAACTTGACCTTGTTAACTGACTAAGGCCTAGCAATAAACTATCATTCAATTATCCTACGTGTAAGTTCAGGAGGTAATTGTGCACTGCACACTGTTTAGTGCTATGGCCCACAGGCACTTGGACCGTTTCAATAATGAAATGATGGTTAATAAATACAACGTGTCAGTACTAGACCTACCAGTACCAGTACCAGTAATACTAATAGTCTTAATGTTTGATTTGACCTAATAACTTCACTTCAACACCGTCCAATACACCGCTGCAACACATAGCGCGCACGCCCTTGTGCATGCACAAATACACAGTGATATAGAGTGTGTATATCACTGTGTATCACTCTATATCACTGTGGATTTGTGCATGCACAAGGGCGTGCGCGCTATGTGTTGCAGCGGTGTATTGGACGGTGTTGAAGTGAAGTTATTAGGTCAAATCAAATATTAAGACTATTAGTATTACTGGTACTGGTACTGGTAGGTCTAGTACTGACACGTTGTATTTATTAACCATCATTTCATTATTGAAACGGTCCAAGTGCCTGTGCTATGGCCAGTCCCAGGAACACAAACACTTTTGACACAGTGACAGTGGGCACTGGCAGTGCAGTGCCAGTGGCACCGAAACTGAGAGTGAGAATAAGATACTCAGATAGCCTTCTTGCGTGGTGTGAAAACAGATGAACGTAAAACCAGAAAACCGTATACTTAAATAATCACCGAAGATAGGTATAACCACACCAGCATAACGTTTAAATATATCAAGTTAGTAAAACCTCTACGCTGAGCTTACAAACTACTGTTGTGTATCATATCAGAACAATAGTGGCGCTACCTAGCATGCGTTACCTAGCATAGTTCGCATACATTTTGCTCACTAGGTGGCAGCACACAACGTAAACTACGCATATATTTAATAACGACGTGGTTCCCGTCTACGTGTGCACCTGTGACGAGCCGACACTACAGCCCAATGCAACGTACAGGTAGGTAATCTACGCCATAACAAGCAGAGGGGAGAGGACGAACTTCGTACAGCGCGGTTAAGATTGTTAATGATATTTGCAACCTCGTTGTCTAATCCTATATATATGTAAGTATAACTGTTGTATATACTCGTATATTTACGTCAACTCTTACGTGTTTACACTTTACGGAACGTGTTCAACCTTTTGACTTTTCGTTTGCCAATATTCAAATCAAATGGGATAGTTACCACAGCATGGAACTGACTTGGTAACTGTGCGGATGTCGCTCACGTGCACGCGGCTAGAGTCCAAAACAAGACGGACATTGTTGATCACTCGAAAACACAACCATTAGGCATTAGTTTTTAATTTTTCAACGTATCGCTACGGCTAGTTAATACTACACTATAATAGTCCAGAGTTCCAATGATATGTGCTTTCAGGTTCAAGCAATGAATTTGTATCGCATGCGAATGCCTCATAAACTACGTGCATGCATATAGATACAAATATGAAGGCACACAGTGATCGCTACAAATATGTAACACTGATTTGTAACATTATATGTAACACTGTCTCTGTAAGGTTACATTAGTAAGGCTGCATCTGTACATGTCTTGTACTCACAATTTTTATTCTGTTCATGTAGGCGCCAAGTATCTGGATGAAGTAAAACCCATAATTTGGTCATTGTGTGCAAGCTGCATTTTGATTGGTATCATTGTCAGTGCTGAATGCCAATGTGCGAAAGATGAGTGCAAATTTGAGCCGATGGGACATATTTCTGTGTACGTGTGAAGATAGCACAACATAACAACCGTAATTTGCGATTTGAGGATGGAACCTGCTAACTTGGGGATGCCAATAACAAGATAAACCATGCCAGTTCCGGTAAGTCCATAGTACAGTTTATGTGAAATTGTGGTTGCTGAATCACATGACTGCATATGCTTATGTTGGGTATTAGTTCATTGTTATTGATAGCCTGATAGGACTATTGCTATTAAATATTAGACCAAGAGCTAATATTACCTAGGTACCTAACCTAATATCAGGAGTCTACCAATATTGATAGACTCCTGCTAATATGTATTATTTTACAGTGTTTTCTTTACCTACAGCTGGCATCTTTTTATGTGATCGTGTCTAACGCTGGCATGTGTTTTGCTAGGTAACCACTAAATGCACCATAGAAACATTGATTTATGTGTTAATTAAAATTAAATTATTCCAAAAAAGTTTTAGGCTCACACAGAAAACCGTGTTAAAACTGTTAGGTAGCTCTCTTTCTCATATTCTGGCACCTCTTGCAAGTTTTTTTTTATAGAAAAATGACTACAATGTCTGATATTACATTTCCAGAGGTGTGTTTAAATTCGTAGGGACAGGTGCTCTGTATCCATTCTCTAAAGGGTACGTGATGTTGTCTGCGTTGTAGCTTGGTGATTCATACGCACAGAAGTTTCAAGGTTGAAATGTTTTGATTTGCAGCAGTTGTTTATGAGAAGGGGGTAGTCTACAATTTATATTTATGAATATTAATTTATTCAGAACTAATGTAGTTACGATGTGGTTGCATTAGATCATGCCCTTTGTAGCAAATTAAAGTTCAGCTCTTCACCGAGGCCATGCAGTCATTTCCACATAACCACACGTACACATGCTTTCTCCATCTTCCAGTGAAATGGTGGGCTGTATACAGCACCTTAGCACTGCGTTCGATATTTGCGTTGTGCCCACTAACACGATTAACAAAAGACAAAATGTAGACTGAAGAATTAAGAGAAAATGAAAACATGATGGTGTGTGGGGATTTGATGCAGGAGACCAGAAATTTGAAGGTACCAGCGACATTGAGAGTGTAGGCCTGTTGACTCTCGATACGCATACGTTTCAGCTAGAAGAAATACTCCCTGTATTTTGTGACTCTAAATCATTTGAAAATACACTGGAATTAACATGTCAGCGCATACATTATTTAGCCTTTGAGAAAATTCCCTCGCGATGAAATAGACCCTTTCGTCAGTCTCGGTCGCCTACGTAATCGTGCCTGATTTTATGCCAAAGTCGTTCGACTATGATAACCACAACGTGTGAGCAAGAGAACGTTAACTGCTTACTGTGGCTCATAGGGTCTATGTCCCCCAGGGTACTATCGGAGGGTACCCTGGGTACGGTTTGATATATCGGAACTTACCCTGCATGGTAACTATCTGATATGGTTTGGCGACGTTAGGTTTAGGGTAAGGGAGTAGGCGTAGGCGACTCCCTAGACTCGTTAGTGGAGTAGGCGAGGTACGGTCCGGCATATTAGATAGTACCAGGGTACGTTCCGATATATCGAATCGTACCCAGGGTACCCTCCGATAGTACCCTGTGGGACATAGACCCTCTCAGCCATACTGTGCTCTTACATTGTGCCTGTATTTTACTATTGTGTTTGTGTTTACCTGTCCGTGGTTACTGTGCTCTTACATTGTGCGTGAATTGGTACTCTTGTGTTTGTGTTTACGTGTTCATAGTTCACTTGCTTTTGACAAGAATACTGCTTACTTGCTAATGCTATGTACATACGATATATAATGAGATATAAATATAATATATATCATCTCATACATATGCATGTTTACATATCGGGCGCGCGTTTATACATCGGACTTCATAATCCGCTGGACTTTCTCGCTTGGCCGGCCACTGCGGCACCACACCGGGAAAGATCCCGAAAACGCGAGCCGAAAAGTTCCTAGTGCTAACTTCTACGTTACGTGCTGGCGGTATCGTTGCTCTTGCCCGTGCAGCCTCTCTGTAGTAACTACCGTATAGCAACGGTTGACAGCAACGGTAAGAAACTGTTGTAACACTACTAACAGTATGTGGCGCAGTGAAGAGCTCACGGTTTAGAGAGACATGGGCTAACGCTCCATTAGGAGTGTTCCCAACTTTGATATCATTAATGATTAATGATTGATAACCCTAACCCTATAACCTAACCTATAACATAACCCTAGCCATTAATGACATTAAACTTTAAAGTTGGGAACACTCCTAATGGAGTATCACCCGAGACCTAGCGGTATATTTGCCTGCTAGTGTCGTGTACGGTGTGCGTGCGTGTGTGTGTGCGTGCGTGCATGTGTATGCGTGCGTGTGTGCGCGTGCGCGCGTGCGTGTCTATTTGCGTGCTAGTTGCGACGTCTCGCGCGCGTCTCCCATCTGTAGCTTATAAATCACCATTCAGTGACACCATTAGTGCGTAATAGCTCAAGCTCGAGGCGTATATAGTAGTAGTAGTAGCAGGGGAAAAAATAAAATGTATTTTTCGGGGGCTACTTTTCAAGCTCGCGTGCATGAAAATAGCACTCTAAAATTTGGTTTGCCTTGAACTCTATGCAAATTTACAGCTCTTTTTGGCATTTCCAGAGCTCTTTTTGGCATTTCGGGGGCTAAATCGCCCCGAGCCCCCGTGTATTTTTTCACTGAGTAGTAGTAGCCAGCTCCTGTTACGATATATACGCACGCGTAGGCACACACAAAGTTGAAACACACACGCACGCGCGCACTTACACACGCGCACGCACACGCGCACACACCCACACGCACGCACACATACGCACGCGCGCACGCACACACATTGCAGTCAAACTGTGAAATGTTCACGCCGTACCAGCGTGACGTGGGCGTGAACGTGTTCTCTTCACAGGCACTTGGATCGTTTCAATAGTAAAATAATGGTAAATAAACACGAAATTTATTTACTACCAAAGTCTTAAAAAATGTTTCTCTACTCCCAATTAAATTATCGGCAATAATAGGCGAAAGAGAGTAGAGAAACATTAAGACTTTGGTAGTAAATACATTTCGCGTTTATTTACCATCTAGGTCCTATTTTTTTATTGAGACGTTCCAAGTGCCTGTGGTTCTCTTGTCCGGGATGTCTAGAGGCTTGTCATACGAAGTACTACGCACAAATATGTTGTTATAATTGATTTTGGGGAGCCGTATCCCACAGAGCGACGGACTGTGTTGTTCGCGTGACGTCGACGTATGTGCATACATGTGTGTATAATGTATTGTAGGCGAGCAAGAATGACGGGTAAACATGCGAGTATTGCGCGTCGAGAGTGGAGCGTGTCGAACGACGTGGGACACGCGACCATGACGGAGACTATACGAATTCACAGTTCTAGTGTTACGTACCGGAGTTCGTTGAACACACGCAAACACGCACACACGTAAGCACGCACGCACACGCACGCACGCACGCACACACTGCTGCTGCATATATAAAGCGAGTCCATTACTGCAGAACTCGGTCGTATTTTCTAGTTCCGGGGATTGGGGTGGGCGGGCTGGGGGCGAGAATAATATCTTACGGGGAATAATATCTTACAGGGGCTAATATCTTACAGGGGCTAATATCTTACGGGGAATAATATCTTACGGGGAATAATAGGGAGAATAATACG